ATGTTTGGAATGATAAACATTTTTACTTAATAGCTTCAAGTTTCAGCTTCTTTCCGTTTTTTTTCCCCCCTTATTAACAACTTTTCCTGAGAATGTCTTCATTGTATTCTTGAGTTTGGAAAGCTAGGCATTTACTTGTGTAATGTTTCATTAAAGCAAAGACATGATTCCTTATAACATGGTTGGGGAGTTCATGTAACAAGCTTGTGTGACTTGCTTTCTGTGCTCAAAATATACAATGTATAGAATGACTCAGCAGCATCCCCACCCTGCCTGCTGCTGGGCGCTGTAGCACTGGGATAAGAAAGGGGTCCTTTCTGCTCTCTCCTCACTGCCTTTCTCTCTTACTGCATTGAAACTCTTAAGCCTAGGCTCACTTGTTACTTAGTTGCATCCTATTGTTTCAGAAAGTGAAAAAGCAAACAAAAAATAGCAACAGCAATGGCAGAGATATATTTGAAGGTAAGAAAGAGACCACAGAGTTTGTATATGAATGTATATATGTGCCAGATAAGATATAGTGTTATTGTGGGTATGTGTTAAAGAGAAAGACATATTAAACTAGAGGTTAAATATGTATAGTTTTTATTGATTCCTTAGAGAACTGTTTCAGGAAAAGTGAATTTATGACCCAATGTGCAAAAAAAGTACTTACTGAAAGTTGAATGGTAACTGATCATGGATTGAGTATAATAGAAAGGAGGTAGAGTTTTAAGAATCATCACAGCGGGTTGACTGATTCCCTTCCGACGATGGCTAGGAGTCTCGTTATCATTGTTCTATATTAAAGGTACTAACCAGAAGTCTTCATAATGCAGTTTTGAAAATTTGTTTCTCTTCTGTCAACTAAGGCCACCGCTGAAGTTACTGAAGCGGCCCATCTGTGCATGCTCGTTGTGGCCTAGAAAGGACTGGGAGCACAGGTGCAGGAGTAAGGATGTAAAGTGACCGAGAGAATAAAGCTGCGCCTGGTGGGAAACCTAGACCGTTGGTATGCCGGTCCTCCCAGAAACCAGGGCCCCTGTGAAGAACGGTTAGGATCCTGGTGAGCCCCTGATTAAGCAGGTGCCTCGCCCTGGTGTCTGAAGTCTGTGTTTAGTTTCCGGAAGTTGGGCGAATCATTTCAACTTTATTTGAAAACGAGAGTTGCCCCGAGGATTTCTTGCCAGTCTGCCGCTCTCGATTGTGAGCTGCTGAGCTTCGGTCTACGGGTCTTTCCTTCGCAGGTGATCTCGACTGCTTCTAGCCTTCCCCGGACTCCGGTGCTCTTCCTGGAATCCAGCATAGGGCTCCCGCCTGTGCCTGGGGGCCGTGGGGGGATGGAGCTTGCGACTGAACACACAGATTAAAAAGCAGAATGCAGAATAACCTTGTATACATATGTTCTTTCCGCACCTACTTCAAGCGTTTAGTGTAGTGCTTAGAATTAGAATCTGCAGTTAGGCGCCTGGCCCTGAACCTCATGGCCCAGCACTGGCCTTGGATCTCTCTCCTTTAGTGTCCTGATCTCCTCAGCTGAAAACTCCTTGCAGCCTCCCCCACCACTGCAGCCCCCGCTCCCAAGGCCCCCAGCATCCAAGGTGCTGTGGGGTGGGTCACAGTGAGGCTGTGGCTCATGACAGTCGGGCCTGACGGGGAGGAGCCTGTGTCCTGGAGTTGGACTGTCGGTTCAGGTCCCAGTTCTACCAAGCAGCTTTGACCATGGCTTTGTTGCGTCGATTCTGAAGCCCGGGCGAGGTGATTGCTTTATCTAAGCTCCTGCTTCCCCATTTGTAAAGCTGGGATGAGCATCCTGAAGCTTTCGTGTTCTTTAAATCATTTATTGCAGGTAAAGCACCTAGGGAAGTCCTTGGCGTACAGCAAATATTTGTATTACTAAATTATTATAAATACAGTAAATATACTTGTGTTAATATGAATTTGAGTATTTGGGTTAGAAGAGATTATACAGTATGCCCTCCTTCCCCTTTGGCAGTCAGAAATTTACCTTGTAGTTACCCAAAAGCTGTATTAAATAATTTTGTTTGTTTTTTCTGTTATAAGGATGTAGTCATTAAAATACATCAAAACATAACCATCTTAGTGCAATCCATGTGTCATATTGAAAAATATAGTCCATGAATTAATGAAAAACATGATCCTCTGAGCATCTCAGTTATGCATAGCTAATATTTACATTGCTAGTTAATGCAGTCTTTGTTTCCTTCCATATTTAAGTAGAGCCACTTTGCTCTCTCACTTTGAACCTTTATTAATATCTGGAGATTACCTGGGACTCAGAAACTCCCCTTCCTGACCTGCCTAGGGGGTCAGGCAGAGAGGGCTTGGCTGCTCCCCGACGGTCATGCTGGTTGGGGGGAAGGGCCGTAGGAGGGAGGGGAAGCCGGGTCCCACCCCTACCCCGCGCTGCCTGGACACTCCCAGACCAGACTCAAGGTGGAACCTGATAGAAAATAAATAGCTGACTTTGCCTGTGGTTTCAACCTCATAATATACTTTGATTTTCTATTTTTCCCTTCCACCCAGACACTAGAGAAAACCATCATTATGAACAAACATTTAATACACCCCTTCTGAACACCGACATGTTAAAAAACGGACAGACTATCAGGTTCAGCTTGCCTCTTCAGAGTTTTCACATTGAATTTTGAGCACTACGCTTTTGTCACAGGAACAATAGGACTGATGGAATGTTGCTGGCACCAAAGCCAGAGATTCACGGTGTCTGAACTCCAGTCTGCCATTTACTGTGACCCTGGCAAAGTGCCTCATCTCTTTCCACCTGAGATCCTTTGCATCCTTGATACAGGGATAATAACAGCGCATACACAGGGAGGTCGGAGACAGGGATAAATACAATGATTCCTGTAAGACAGTTCTCCTCGTGCTTGGCATTCAGTGAACTGAACACATTTGTTTCCATAATTACTGTTGTCATTAAGTGCCTACAAATCACAGTTAGAAGGACACAGTTTTAAAAAGTGAATAGCAGCACAACCTGTTCAAGGATTAGGACACCAAAGAGGTGAAGACAAGCACCATGCACCCGTCTTCTGGAAATTTTCTAATAATACTTCACCTGCCAGATGAATTACGTTACATTTTAATGCCATGGCAGAACTCAAGAGAAGCGAATGTGCTTTCATTTGTTACTATGGAACCCTAGGAGCAGAACGCCCTGGTCGAACATCCTGGTATTCCATGACCACTTTGTATCATTTGGTGAGAGGCATGAAAAAGCGAAACTGGGAACAATGATTTTCTGTTGGTTACTAAGAGTACTCTTCTTTCAAGCTAAAACATACTGTTTTACTAATTTAGTGAGTAGAGTGCATAGGCTGTTTGGACTAGAGAGAAAAAGGAAAATGTGTTTGAGTTTATCTGACAGTTGTCTTTGCTGCATAGGGAGACCAGTTGGCTCCTTTTTATATAAGAGTTCTGAGCCTTTATTTTGTATTTCTGTGATTAGTATTATAGATCCACTTATAAATTTAAATATGTGCTTATGTGAGGTAGTTCATATGAGGAAAATCTCATTAACTTTGCATATTGGATAATATCGAACACTTCCAAAAAAGTTTAGAACTTACAAGTAACAAACTTCACTAAATAATAAAATGTGAAATAATCATAAAATGTTTATTGTTATTCAGCAGCATTATAATTACTATTGCTTTGTTAATTCTTAGCCAACCTTCAAAACAGAAATGCATTAAATAGGAAATTTCAGTGATTCAAGGATTGTAGGGTTCCAAAGTCCAAGTTGGACCTCGGCGTCAACCCCTAAAAGTAGCACCAGGTTGGAATGGTTAATGCACAAGAGCAAATGCTGTGATATATTCTGGGAAAGCCAAAGAACATGAGTAGACCTTTGGCTACAAAGGTGGGGTTTGCCCAAGAGAAATGGGTATTTCCACTGTTCACCCTGAGTGGAAGTTAATTCTGGGATCGAGGTTTCAGTTCGTTTCAGTGGCTGGGCCAAAACGGTATGCGCACCCTCTTCTTGGTGATTATATAACTCCATGTTTTACTAGTTGACTTAATGAAGTATGTGTCTAGTTTGGATTCTAATTGAAGATTTTTGTGTGTGTGTGTGTGTGTGTCAGCTCCAGTTATGACAGTGTATTCAATTCTGTTCATTTAAGGAATTCACTGGGCTTTGGGTAAGGCGCTGGGTATACTAGGATTTGAGAAACATGTGGCCGCTCCCTTTTTGGAGCTTATGGTGTAAGTGGGAGACTCTGTATTTTTAGCACTCTGGTTGTCTCGTCATTTGTTCAAGGCAATTAAAAGAAACAGAAGGCCGGAATACGTAAGAGACCCAGGCGGTCCCTTATTCTGGACTTTGAAAGGCTGTACTCCGAGTCTCTCAGCCACTATAACGGGTGTGCCTAGCACACAGAGCTGTGGAGAGGCATTTGCTCCAGCTTCTTTCTCTGAACTCTAGGAGGGGTCCCGTGATGCAGCACAGGGAGCCGGGGAGCCAGCCTGGCAGGACTCAGGTCTGCGCCGTGGCTCTGGTCTCGTCGGGGGCTCCTCGACTGACATCCAGAAAAGTCAACAAACCTTAACCAACCATGAAGTTCATCCTTAGCGAAGCAAAGTATTCGGCCACTAGATAATCTCTTACTACCCATCCACCTCATTGGGTGGTTTTGAGAATTAAATGAGATAGTTGTAAAGTGCTTCACATAGTACCTTACACCTAATACAAATCATGACAACAAATACTTTAACAGCCAGTGTCATGTGCCAAGTCCTGGTGTGATCATTATGTGCATGTGAGTTTGTTTAATCCACCTCTGAGGAACATGCTGTCATTAGCTCCATTTTATAGGAAAGGAAACGGAGGCTTAGAGATTGGCTAAGCTGCTCAAGATCACACGGGTGTGACACGTCAGCCCTCAGATCAGAGTGGTTCTGTAGGCTGGCACTTTATCAGCGTGGCAGTTTTGGTTACTGTTGACATACCCGTTCATATTTGTCGTCTTTCTCTCCAGGTGTCATCGAGACTTCCGACCGACTGGATCGTGAGTCCGCCTCCCACTACTGGCTCACGGTCTATGCCACCGATCAGGGCGTCGTGCCTCTGTCCTCGTTTACAGAGATCTACATCGAGGTGGAGGATGTCAATGACAACGCTCCGCAGACATCAGAGCCCGTGTATTATCCAGAAATCATGGAAAATTCTCCCAAGGATGTATCGGTGGTGCAAATTGAGGCATTTGATCCAGATTCTAGCTCCAGTGACAAGCTGACGTACAAAATCACAAGTGGAAATCCACAAGGGTTCTTCTCGATACATCCCAAAACAGGTACGTGTCAGTAGTGTTCCATGAAATGTTCTCATTTGTCCTTTCCTGGTTGGGGCAGGGGGGGATTTAAAATTAATTTTCCACTTTTCTTTAGTTTTTAATAAATTGTTTTCCTCTTGAGTTACTCAAAGTAAGTCTTTTGCCAGGTGAAAATTTAACCCAAGTTTGTTTCTCTTTGAAGTTGCTTTTGTAAAGCTATTTTATGATTTTGCTTACTCGTAGAGTTTTACATGCAGGTTAAAAAGCAAAGGTGGTTGTTTCAGTAGGAGCTCCTAACTTAGTGATATTATCTTAAACCTACTGCAAATTCTGCTGTTAAGTATTGCAATTTTCTCAGTTACTTTTTATGAAGAATATCAAGAGTTTATTCCACAGTTCACAGGTGGTTTTTTGTTGTTGTCGTTGTTGTTACATTGTTTGGAACTTTTGAAAAGAGCAGTGCTGAGGCGCTGCAGTCAGTAGGGAACAAGATTAAACTATTTGCAGATTTGGGAGCAGTTACTTTCTTGAACTGGTAGCTCAAGATTTCCCTCTGTTTTATCTTCTCAGTGTCTGACCCTTGCTTATGTGGCTTCTTGACTCCCAAATCCTTAAAAACTTCTAATATTTGTTCTTTTATATTGAATAATGCATCTACTTTTTTCTTAGTCCTCAGTTTATTATTATTATTATTATTATTATTATTTAGCAAAAAACAAGGGATCCAACCTAGCTCGCTCTTGCGTAGTGAAAGTCAGCCCTCCTCTGTGCGCTGTGAGAATGTAGACTTGCGCTCTTCGATTTCCTGATTAGAGTTAAAAAAAGAACGATTTATTTGTAGGATTTTGCTTCTTATCAAGTAGATCACTGGCCTTTGAGCCCAGCTGTGTCAGTGACGCAGTACTTTCCTGTGGACTCTCATCAGGAATCCCGAAGAAGGGGGTGTGCTGTGCTTTACATACCTCTGCCATGTTTCCGCTTCTTAGCTCTTTCTCTGTCCTAGGGGAGCTGGCCTGTGTGCTCAGTTCCTGGGTTCTCTGTATGATATATGCCAAGGAAATAATATACAAAAATCAAAATTAAAGAGGCGTTCTCAGCTTCCTTAGCAGTCTTTGTTATCCCTCTTTTGTACCATTTTTATTTCATAATTTCCTTTGTTGTCTTTAAAGGAAGCACTTCTTAAGGTGGAAAGAAGCTTGGGCTCACTCTGTGTGCACCCAACTGTCTGGAAATACACCCGAAAGAGATCGTGTGAGTGTGAGTGTGAGTGTGTGTGTGTGTGTGATATCTGGGTCTTAAAAAGCATGTGAACATGTTAGTTTTAAGCCTCTTGTCAGCATATTTCAACCCGACCTTCACAGGGACTGGGTTTTTTGATAGTTGACAGTAAACATCAGTTGAAGATTGATGTTATGAGTATTTTCTTTTGCTTTGAAATAGTTCCTCTTGCTCTACTCTTTGGCCAAGTTCTAATGTGCTGCTCTGATAGAGAACAGAAGTGAAGTTTGGAATCATAGAAAACAAGTACTAGATGGAGCCATGTAAGAATTTAATTATGTAGAAGAGAAGTGGAATCTGAGTAGTTTTTCTTTTGGAAGCATTGGGGCAGGGTGTGGGACCCTGAGCTTATGAAAAAGGCCTGGAATTAGGAGCTTATACAAGAACATGAAGACTTGAAGCACATCTCTAAAGGATTGATTGAAGGCTTGTGTAAACAGTACAGTTGCATACTGTTTACTGCCCAAGCAGGAACTAAGTTCAGCCTTCTTTTTGTGAAATCAACTGGAAGAAAACTAAAAAATCAGAGGGCACTACCAAATATAAAACCAGAAAAATGAAAAATTTATAACACTTTTGAAGGAAGAGCTCAGAGTTAAGAAGCTGTCTGCCAAAAAGCAAGAGGGGCAGGGTGTCACAGGACTTGAGAAACAGAAAAATCGAGAAGTTAAAGTCTTGAGGTGGTAATTCAAGACCATAACTACCTTCTTTGAAAAATTACTTAATGAAGTAGACTTTAGAACGTTTTCATTTTTCTTACGTTGTCTACCTTTTGGATTAGGGTAACTTCTGTGTTGAAGAAAGCCATAAATGGCCTTTTGGATATCTGAGCAAATATGTATCTGGCCATAACGAGTATTTGAGGAGAAAGAGAAAGAAGAACGCAACCTCAGGACGTTTCGTGGGTTTGAGTTGCTGGGGGGAGCCTTGAAACCTCGGTTCTCTCAGTCCAGGCCCTCTGGGGTGATGCTATCACTGCTGTGTTGTCACGCCTGGTGGCAGTGGGATTAATGTGTTGCTACTCTACTCCCTTTTACGGCCCTCTGTCCTGCAACTCTCAGGAAGAGCCGTCTGCAGAGACTTCTTCCTTATCATTGGGAGACTGTCCCCTCCAGGAGCCCGCAGGCGGCTCCCACATCCCTGGCTGCGAATCACATACATCCTGCCGGCGGGGCAGTAGACGAAACTTCACAGGGATTACAAAGAGGTTTTATTTTCTTCTGGGCTCCAGGCAGACAACAGTGGAGAATAACTGCAGTTCGCACACGGGGATATTTGTTGTGAAGTGTGTTGTAGGCTGTCTGGAGAATTAAGACGTCTCATGACTCCACGCGTCACCCAGTGTTTCTTCAGACCCAGAAATAACCGTATGTTAGCATGGGCATCGTTAAAGAATATAGTTACTGTGGCTTCAAAGGTCTGGCTCTAGAGGACTCTGCTCCCTCAACTCGGCGGGAAGTTTGGGCCTGATCCTCAGGGTCCAAAGGCTAAAGCTCCAAAGTATTCTTCCTCAAAACTTTTAAAGCAGGCTTATTTTTAGTAGGTAGCCTCGTATGATGGGAGGGGCCAGCCTGTGAAAGCTGGTGAAAGACAATCTGGTAGAGAAAGTTCGCATGATTTACTGACCCAGAACACCACCTGGGGACCCTCAATCATGTTACTTAATAATTGATGGTGGAGTGGGAAAGTTGCTGGGCTGGAAATGAAGAGGCCTGGGCAGCTGCCAGGCCTTCCCTCTGGGATCCCCGGGAAGACGGGCCTCCCGGCCCTTCCCCTCTGTGATCAGCGGCGAGTGGTGCTCCACGCCGGCTAGGGCTCCCGTGTACGGAGCACCGTGCACTCAGAACTGCGTGCGGGAGAGATGCCGCAGCCTCTCGCGCTTGCACGCGCTACCTTTGCTCTGTTAACTATGCAGAAGGTACTGTATGGCACATCTCCTTTGCACAAGCAGATTTGATGGAGTAAAAGACGTCTTGCTTCTTAGTGAGGAAGATACATTTAGGGCCCTTGGTGATCGCCCAGCCGGCTAGGGAAAGCCAACAGTCATTGCCATTCTGGTTACTTGATAATGTATCCAAGTGCGTACTGGGCTTCTGCCCTGTGCTCGGGACTGGAGATGCTCTAAGAGACGCTCCGGACAGGGGCAGTTGGGCGGGGGCGGCGGGGCGAGGGCGCGGTGCGGGTAGGAAATAGGCACGTTTGGGATCGGGTGCGACAGGCTCGGATCCACACTTGGAGGATGAGGTCTCTTGGCGAAGTGACGGGGCTGGCTGCTGAAGCTTGTAAAAGTGAATGGAGGGAGAAGATGGAGAGAGTGGGCGTCGCGTTCGGGGACACTTTGCAGGAGCGATGAGTTAGTGGCCAAGAGATGAAGTTAAACGAATGTGTGGGAGAGTGGCTACGCTGGATGGAAAACCTTAAAAACCAGCAGAAGGGTGAACGGGCAATATTTATGCGGTTTTTCTAAACAGCGACCTGTTTTCGAGAGTCCCCATGCAGCCCCTGGGAGCGCTTCGTGTCAACATCAATCCGGGGCGCTCGCCGAGTCATGTCGGGGATGGAGAAGCCTCTCCGCTGAAAAAGGCAGCCTTTTCTCCTTCTGTCGTAAAATGGCAGCTCTTAAAAAAATTAAAAACAAAAACAGAAAACCTGCTTAGGAGTGGATTTGATCATCTGAATTTTGGGCTCTAAATGACAAGTTTGAATGAACATGTTTGAATGTTTATCTTTTAGCCAAAGTTTTTGAGCTTGAAGGCGGTGCCAGGAATTGTCCGTCTGCTTCTCAGATGCTTCCCGTTACATTGGTTTTCATTTTCAGGGTGGACGGGCACACGAGACTTGCTCTGTCTCTCCCTTTTCCAACACGCATGCTTTTGTTGACACCAGAATTTTGTATAACCTTGTTGTGTTTATGTTCCGTATCAGTTCGGGTAAATTTGCTTCTTCTCATATAAATTGCGCATGTGCTCAGGGTGGGAGACAGATAAGAGTTGTGAGGTTGCCGGAACCTTCGCAGCCCCCGCCCCTGCAGACGGTCGCGTCACTCACAGCTTCCTTTGTGGTTTGTCAAGGACAGCGGGGAAGGGGAGTCCCTTGCATTGGGGGCCAGCCGGGCTTCACAGGTTTCATTGTCCACAAGTGACCTCATGCGGCTGGATTCACCCCAGCAAAGCGTCTGTTTAGTCTGTTATCAGTCTGAACTTTTGAGGAGTTTATGCAACTTAAAATAGGCAGATAATTTTGAAGTGTTACTTTAGAAAGGACCATTGTTTTATTCTGTTATCTGTATGTTTGGTATTTTCCATGGTTAGGGCACAAAGCAAATACTGCTTTTTAGTTTTGAAAGTTTTGAAGTGTAATTGACATACAATAAATTGCACGTATTTAAAGTCTGCAGTTTGATAGGTTTGATGTAGTTAAAAAGGTGTGGAACCGTCACAGTCAAGCACTGAATGGAGTCGTGGCTCAAAAGCTTTCCCTCCCTTCTCTGATTTCTGGCCCCTGCCCTGCCCTTCCTGTCTACCCCACCCTCTGGCCACCACTGATCTTCCTTCCATTCCTGTGTATTAGTCTGCATTTTCTTTTTTAAAGATTTTATTTATTTATTTTTAGAGGGGAAGGGAGGGAGAAAAAGGAAAAGGAACATCAATGTGTGGTTGCCTCTTGAACGCCCCTTCTTGGGGACCTGGCCCACAACTCACGTGCCCTGTCTAAGATTTGGGCCAGCGACCCTTTGGTCCGCA